GTTTATTAGCTACAACCTCTAGCAAGAATCTCCCCAGACTGAACCCTAGCTCCCAAGCCAGCCAGCCACAACACCCTAAATTCCTCAGGGAGGTGCCAGCCTCATCCTCTTGAACTTCCCACACTCTTGTGGTGAACTAAGAACACGCTTATCTCCCTGAGCCTGGCCTCCATAATTCCATTCCATCACATCAATTCGGTATTTGCCATCAAGTCATTTTTGACTCCTAGGGACCACAGAGATAGATCAAACAACGAAATTGCAATAACATCGATAAAAGATAAAGATAAAAGATGGCAAATGCGAGGAAGTGAGGGGTCTCTCTCTCCCTCACTGAAGGCCGGGGGAAGAGTCAGGTCTTCATGGCTCTTCTAAACAAGAGCAGAGTGGTGGCCATCCGAATGCTTCCTCAAAGGTGCATTCTGGGGTGCCGATAAATGACAGTGTTTAATCAAAGGAACCTGCAACATGCCAACCCTGCAGGATTGAATTGGCTGGGGAGATGCTATAGGAGATGGGCGGTCCCCCAAGTAACCAGACCCTATGCCATGTATGCCATGGTTATAGGTAACCACCAGCACCTTGAATCGCATCTGGAAGCAAACCAGCAACCAGTGAAGCTTGCGAAGCAGAGGTATTACATGGGCATACTGAGACATGCCCATTACTGCTTGTGCTGTCACATTCTGGACCAGTAGAAGCTTCCAGGTGGTCTTCAAGGGCAGCCCCATGTAGACCGCGTTGCAGTAGTCAAGTCAGCTGATAAGCTCCCAAAAGCTTCTGCCTTTTAATATGATTTGCTACTTGGAGAAGGTGCTACCAGGTGCCTGATTTTTTTTTGCCACTGTAGGCTAACACGGCTCTTCTAGTCAAGGGAGACTCTTGAAACAGCAGCAATAAAAATATTTTAAGTCTGGGGAAAAGACAGCTAATATATCTCTGATTCTTCCACTGCTGCTGGAGAAACCAAGAGTAATGTATTCTCTAGATGCCCAAGGGTTCTTCAAGGGATTAAATCAGGAAAAGGGTTGCTTTTCCCAGGTGGGTGCTGCTCAGATGTGTTGGAACTGCAACTCCCAGAATCTCTTAGGCAGAACTTGGAATTAAGAGGTGCCAGGTTGGAGAAGCTTATCTTCATTTGTTTCTGCCCATCCAGTGCGATGAAGCAGGATGGGTGCCCTCTGGGTTCCATCTATAGAACAATGTAATCTTGTGGGACCCGGGAGGGATGTCTTCTTGGTTGCAGTACCTGCCCTCTAGAATGATATCCTCCTGGACATTTGGGTGGTTCCCACCTTTATGAAGTTCTGTAAATTACTCAAAACCTTGTTTTTCTCCCAGGTCTTAGATTACACTGGTTGTATAGCCCCTTCTGGTTAGTTTACTTTTCTTTAATTTAAGATTGGGTGTTTGTTCTTCTGGTCAGTCATGCTCTTTTATCCCTCCCTCCCTCCCTCCTTCCTTCCTTCCTTCCTTCCTGCCTGCCTGCCTGCCTGCCTGCCATCCAGAATCATTGAAGAGTTGGGCGCCCTCGAAATTTGAATGAATGAATGAATCAGTCAGTTGCAAAAATTGAGATGCAAGTGCTAATGCTCGAAATAAATGAATGTTGTTTTAGAGATTTTTATTGATTTGGATTGATAACTGTAATAATCGATTATAGAAATTGATTGGAGTGTGCTTAGATCGTTAACCAAAGACTGAGCTGCAGGAAATAAAATAAATAAAATTAGAGCAGAGTACTTTTTCAGCCACGCTGCCTGCTTATTTATTTTTTAAAATATGTACTTCTATCAAATCGCCTTTTGTTTTAAACTTCCTTTAACCTTCAGTCCACTTTCCAACAGAAGGGCAGCAGGTAGCTTTTTCAAATTCAGTAAATAAAGTTGAATACTCATAAGTAACGTTTAAACTTTAAACTATGGAAGCATGGAAAAGCCATTCTCCACACCCCAAATAGCTTTTCAGAATTTCTGTACAGAAAGGACATGACCAGAAAAGGCCTGGAAAGACATACTTGAGTTAACTCCCCCCGTTTTTCTCCTTGAAGGTTCCGAACTACTTGAAAATCCCATTGTCAATGAAGGAAGAAACTATCTTGGACTTTAAGGTGGGGACGAGGTCCTAATACTATTCAACATGCGCAAAGGGATGCCAAAAGATCCAGATATTGCGGAGCTATTCTACAAAGATGATCCTCAGGAACTATTTGTGGGTTTACATGAAATTGGACATGGAAGTTTTGGAGCGGTTTATTTTGTAAGTAGCTTTTGCTCTCTGTTCCATTCCTTTAGGGATACCGATACTCCTCACTTAGCAGCCGTTTATTTAACAACAGTTCGAAGTTACAACAGCCTTGGAAAAAGTGCTTTACAACCTGTACTTGCACTTATGATCGTTGCAAACTGTTGCACCATGACCACGGTCACCTGATTGCAATTTGCAACTTTTTTTGCGATGGTTCTTAAGCAAATCACTGCAATCATTAAGCGAATCATGTGGTCATTAATCAAATTCCGGCAAAAAAAAAAAGTCTATTGGCGAAGCTGGATTTGTTTAACGGCCACATGATTCGCTTAACAATAGTGGTGATTTGTTTAACGGCCGTTATGAATATGGTCGTAAAATCAGGTCTGGAAACACGGTGACTTGCTTAACGACCATCCCGCTTAACGGCCAATTTTCCAGTCCCTATTGTGGTTGTTAAGTGAGGACTACCTGTATATATTCCCCTAAACCTGAAGTTTGCTATCAAGAATTGAAACTGGACCATTCTCTCATTCTCTCTCTCCCCCTCTCTCCCTCCCTCTCCCCCCCCCACCTCACAAACATTTCAAGATGGCACCCACTTCTGAGATAAAGGAAATGTGTTCAATGTCTTTTAGATGCTTGTTGCTACTGTTCATTTTGCAACATTGGTAACTGGTCAGTAGTTATAAGGATCGGCCTTGTCCCATCAGCTACAGTTTGGGATTTTTGCCTTTGGCTTTGTCACTGCACAATCAAAGTTTGCTTTCTGTAGGGGGACCAGTAGGTTGAAATGCCTGGTTTTCCATCTCTTCCCTCCAGTTTTTCTGTACACTCGCTCTCCCTATTCCTAGACATGTATTGGTTTCATCAAATAAGTAAAAGTGATGGCATTAGCATCAGATGTTTAAAAGTGTTCCACCAGTGAAGCCTACGTACACCCACCATTTCTTCTCTGCAAATGTTCCCCTTGTTATTTATCCTGGAGTAAAGGCTTTCTAGCCCCACGTTTGCTGTCAGAATGCAAGCTGGTCAGCTTTTACAGCGAACAACATGTTGCCTGGATAAAATATTCCTGTTGCCACTGAAAAGGGTCCAGAAACTTATCCTGATTTGCCCCCAGATGTATACTAGAGAAGTAAATATTATTGCATTGAAGCTTGGCTTCCCATTGAAAGTGAGAGTAGGGGGTTGCATCTGAGAGATTATAGTTTGCCTAAATAACCCAGTGAGTTTGTGTCAGGGATGACCCTTGGATCGGGGATGCCCTGGCCCTTATCACTAAAATAATTTATAGCCGTGCCCTAGGACAACTTCCTGCTTTGGATTGCTTTCACCTGCAAAAGATGGCTGCTTATGTGCTAAGGTGCCCCAGGTTTATTGCTCACCATATTAGTTCTGCTGCTTGGCAAAAACAACATAGTATTCCTGAAAAACGAAACCATGCCCCTTAAAGGTGCACAGCGTAACTTAATTTGTCTGATCAGGCCGCATTAGGGAATGGCATTCTTCTAGGAACATTTCTTCTTCTAGCCAAGAAGGTTGCATCAAGCCACCTCTTGCCTCTTTTCTCAACATCTGGAGCTTACTTTAAGTGCTTACAATGAGGGGAAATAATTGGCTATGACTTCCATCATGGAAGGTAGTCTTCACACCTTCCTTTTCATTAGAATAACATGTGGAGTCACACGCTGAAGCTGCTAGTCTCCTCCGGTTCTCTTTTCTTTATTTAAATTCCTATATGAGACCGGTGACAACTGGCATTATGACCAATCTCTTGGATTAAACAGAACTATTTTCCCCCAAATAATGTCTTCTCTTCCCTATAATTAATAATGGTCTGGGGATATTGAATAAGGGACTAGGTCAGCAAAAGTCAAGTGTTTCATTCTCTCTGATGTCGTGAACTCTTTCTTGGAAAATGAAGCTGCTGGTTTTGTATCCTCCGGAGTCCCGTTGGTTCAGGTGGATGGGAGGCAGTACTGCTCCCTCAGTGCTGTAGGATGAAGCAAGAGCTTAATGTGATTCAATTTGGCTTTCTTAAGTCTAGATTGTTGACCTGGTTTCTTGGTCTGAGCAACTTAGTGACTCTCCCTGCCATCCAAAAGACCTAGATTTAGGGGTTGAGTAGCAAAGTGAAGACATTGATTAAATTATCCACGAGAGTCAAAACCAAATGGGATTGCAGTGAGTTGCCAAAAGATTCATCCAACATACAAGGGTGTTCAGCATAGTTTAAGGACAAAGTTAGGCACAACTTCTCAAGCATACTGCTGAGAGCAGTAACCATAAAAGAGATTTTGCAGTAGTAATAGGAAATTCAGTGAAAACATCAACCAGGGCTGCAACAAAGAATGACTGCCTTTATAAAAAGGAACTATTTCTATGTTAGGAATCATTAGGAAAATAGAGGAAAAGGGGCAACTAAAATGATCCTGAAAAAAGTTCCTTAGTTTAGGGACCAAAAAGTATGATACAGATTTAAAATAGTATAAATGATCTGGAAAAAATGAGTAGAGTGATGTTTCTCATTCATTCATTATATTGGAACTTGGACCCTCATTCATAATACTTGAGGAGATTAGGGACGTAAGTCATAAACTGGAATTCACCGCCACGCAATACTACTGCAAAAGTTTGAATCTGCTTCTACTCCTTGATGGCATCATCAAGTTGATAATTCATTTGATACAAAGGACACGATTGGCATGTAAGGAAAAGTGTGGTCTTTGTAGAAGGGAGGGACACCTGCTGGCATCTTGGTGTATTCAGTTTGTGCAGTAACAACCCTACAACTGGTAACTCAGCATTGTCTACTGAAGGAGGTCTCCAGAACATGTCAACTTTACTGATCCAAGGAGACAATGAGACCATAGTCAAGGAAGCAAGATTACAACCAGCTTGGAAGATGCCAGTTTTTTATTTCTTGCTTGTCCAGAAAGGAATAACATTCAGACTAGAAGCAGCAGATAAGAGACAGGTTCCAGTCCCAAACTGCCCTACCCAACCTTATACAAAACCACACCATGATCCAGAAACTCAGGGAATCTCCTTGTTTTTGTGGTCCCTTTCTCCACTCTCCAAAGCAATTTAGCAATGCTGTGTGAAATATTCTTTGAGGATGCTCTTCAGCATCGTTCCTTAACCTGAGTGGTGTCTAGATATGTGAACTTCAGCTCCAAGAATTCTCATCTGGAGGGTGTACTATTTAAGGGAGATTGTTCTTGAGATTATAAGCAGCAGCAAGATAGTTGATTTCAAGGTAAAATTTCATTCCTGAATCAAAAAATTCCAGGTTTGGAATTAATGCTGCTATGTGCATTAAGCACTCGAGAAAATTAATTTTGAGGAACGTGCACCTAGAAATTCGAATACTAAGCAGGCACATGCTCTACCTTGGCCAATATTGTTGTAATTCTTGTATGGATGACTTCTAATATATAAACCTTAACATAGAACTGAATTCACTCTTAATTCAGGTTGTCTACTGATCAGTTAAGGGTGTCAGAAGGCATCAACTTTCTTGACCTTAGAAGAAATGAGAACATTCATTAAATTTTATTTCTCTCCCCTCCCTCTTCTTCAATTTCCAGGCCACCAATGCCCGCACTAATGAAGTGGTGGCAATCAAGAAGATGTCCTACAGTGGAAAACAAACGAATGAGGTAGGAAGGACAAACTTCTGCAAAGTCTCAATCTCCAGCAACACAGAAATGCTGCAAAGATGCATATCGTTGGCTGCTGCTGTAGAAAAAGAAAGTAATTAAAATAAAATAAAAAACTGGATCAGCATTGGTTGGTGAACGACGTAGGCTAGAATTTGAATGGTTTTCAAACACTGCAAAGATTTCCAGGTATCTCAGGGGCGGTGAAAGTATAGGTTTGTAACAGTATCTGAACTCTGCATCTCTTTTCCGTCTCTTCTAACAAATCTATTTTTGGTTTTGGTCTGCTATGTGGTTTGCTACACATTTGTACCCTTGCACACATATGTGCCATGTATATGAGTGTATAGGAAATTACTGTCAATATTAGTATATTTCTGTCCTCTCTTCATTAGCTTAGAGTAACATACAAAATTCTCCTTGCTCCTCCAGAGTGATGTTCATGAGATGGTAGGCTGAACTAAGAAATTGTGAAGCGCATGAGCAAAAAGAGTGATCTTGATCCTACTCCAGTTCTCCAATCACATTTATTCTCTGGCCCTCTTCCATCCTTCTCTTAAGTCCTACCCTCCTACACTGTAGAATCCCTCTTGTACCTGGGTTATGCATCAGGATTTCCCCCTCCACTTTGGAGAACCAGCTGTAGTGTTGCACCTTGAGAAGGTTGCTATGGGCGAAAGTAAAACGTTTGGTGTTACAGTAGTTGCTTTCAAATCGAATTCAGGGGGTTTCTTTTTTGTTTTGCACATTCATCAGATGTCATAGGCCACATAGCATTGTGTCCTGAAACTACTCCTTAAATGTGCCCATCTGTTCCTGGGTCAACTCTAAGCCATAAGTCCAAAATCACATCACACGTTGTGTAGTATGGTACTATGAGTAAATAAGCAATGTACTATGTATTTTAATGTGTGCTACAGCATTGCGTAATTTATTTTGATTACTCTGGGTAACTATTAGATTTGAATAAGTGCCTTTTGACCTTTGTATCTTAAAGAGATAAGGAGTAATTAACATTGCCTTCTAACCGAAAGCCCAAGAAACGATGTCACTCAGTCCTAAGCGATTCCTGGTCATAAAACTCATTGTGAAATTGCAAAAAGCAAGCCCTTCTGACCTCACCCCAACCATTTACCAGTTTTGTCATCTTTGGGATTTTCTAGATAAAGTGAACCCGGATGTTAAGTTTCTTCCCTTTCTTCCCCCCTTCATCAACAGAAATGGCAGGATATTATCAAAGAAGTCAGATTTTTACAACAGCTGAAGCACCCCAACACCATAGCGTATAAAGGCTGCTACCTGAAAGAACATACTGCTTGGGTGAGTTTCATCTACATGAGGTTTTAAGTCCTGGAGCTGTTCTGGGCAAGGATTGTTTCTAAAATGGCTTGAACATAGTGCCGGATCTTTCATTTGTCTTTCATTCATTGGGAAAACGTTACCAGAATTGAGACATGACTTCTGGGCTTCTGTTGTAATTTAAGCTGCAGCCCTAACAGGGTTTCTCAACCTCAGCAGGTTTAAGATGGGTGGACTTCAACGCCCAGAATTCCCCCAGCAGAATGGTGGCTGGGGAATTCTGGGAGTTGAAGTCCACCCATCTTAAACCTGCTAAGGTTGAGAAAACCTGAGACCTAATGAAGTACCCCAGATGAACAGAAAATATTAACTTCTCAGGCTGTGTCTTCCCATCTCATTCATTCTTGAATGTCTGCCCATGCATTATAAAATCCAGAATGTATTTATTTATCAAATGTACTGTATATGGTTAAACCTAATTCTAATTAATCTATGCAGTGAAACTTTGGGCGACAAACAGAATCAAAGCATATCAAGCCATTAAAACAAAGCAACTGCAACAACGAAAACTGAGCTGAGGCCCCTATCAAAATCTCAATTCCCACATATCTCATGCACCCACACCAGAGCTCCAATAATTAACGTCCTCTTGAAGGTCTTCAAAAAAAGGCAATAGAGTTGGGGCTGTCCACATCTCAGTGGGGAGACTGTTCTACAAGGCAGGTGCCATAACAGGGAAGGCACACTTCCTAGGACCCACCAAGTGAAATTGCTTCACCAATGGGACCTGGAGCATGCCCACTCTGTCAGCTTTGGTGGGATGGGCAAAAATTATTGGGGATGGGCATTCCTGCAAGTAACCTGGCCTCATGCCAGGTTATATAGGGCTTCCTTTTAGCTTTTCCATTACTGTATTTGGAGGATGGGAAATGGTCATCTTGGACGTTCATCCCCACTAAACTTTAATTAGATTGTCACAACAGGCACTTGTGCCTTCCCTTACTGGTGGTAGAATCCCATTGATTTTGATTGACCAGTATTCATCCACATATCAGTTTCCACAGATATTGTTGAATGTTTGTCATCCAAGTTGATGTGAAGCTTCTACTAAGCAAAAAGTAAAAGTCCATTTTTGGGGGTCATGGCAGATCATTTCCATATATTTCCTGACAAACCTGATCATGGCATGGGCCTCTTGGAATGCTGTGATTCCCAGATGATTCTGGGAAGTGTAGTTTCAGGCAGCTGAGACTTTGTATTAGAGATGCCACCCTTTTGCACATTTCTCCAAGGAGAAAGGATGACTATCGATCTGTTTTAGGGCTTATATATAAGAACTTTGAATTAATGCCACCACGATCTGTTGTCTGCTTGCCCTGTCTACTCATTCATGGATGTATTTCTTTCTACTTTTTCACAGTTAGTGATGGAATACTGTTTAGGATCAGCTTCAGATCTGTTGGAAGGTAAGCGTTTTGATATCCATGCTGTATCTTTTAGGCAGTGTGGCTGAGCCTTTTAGAGGATTACGTTCCCCGACAGCATTTCTTAGGCAAATCACAATTCCATGCAGATAATGCCAGATCCTTTCCTCTTCAGTAGATGGATGGTTTCTGTCCTATGCGCCAAATGCCCATTTGGCTGACTGTTTAGTCTGAAAGTTTCCAGGCAGCCAGATTACGTCTGAATTAATGGTGTGGGGTCTGGTTTCCATCTTTTCATGCTTCTGCTTGATGATGGCTCATTATGACAAGAGAGTGGGGTAGGTCAGGACAGTGTTTCTGGGCCTTTTTCTCCTAATCATCTGTTGCCAATTTCCATCACCCCGGGTCCAGCCATGTTTTATTTCTGTAGTTGGCAGCTGAGCTGACAGATTTGGCTCAGGTGCCAAGAGACTCTTATCCAAGATGATTTCCTTGCACAATATCTTTACTTAAAAGCTTAAAAGAATTGCCTCTCTTTCTTCGGTGGTACTATGACAAATTCTCTGTGGGGGTTTCCCACACTCTTTATTCACTGCGTAGAACCAGAAGAATGAGATGTGGAGATGATGGGTTCTTTGAGCAGGAGGAAAAAACATGGTTTTCCCAATTTTTCCAGTCTACATTTTAAATGCTGGTGGGTTATAGACTTAGAACCCGTAGACCAGAAATGAGATGGATCCATACTTAGCCCCAGTTCTAAACATTCTGTGCAGTTGAAAGGAGCGAATCTGCCTTTATTCAACCTCATTCTACCTTCTAACTACTGAGGTGATGCCATTGTGGATGATCAGAAGATCATTACAGATGTTACTGGATGCCTTAATACGAAAGTGGGCAGCCTAACCCTAACTCATTTTTGTAGTCCTCGGGGTCTACTGAACCTGAATGCTGAACCTTGACAGTACCATTCCCATCCTTTTGAGGTGGGAAACAAAGGCACGCTGTAGCAATATGCCCTAAAATTGGCACATTAAAAAACACTGGAAAAAATCAACTCCCAATCCAAGTTAGCCTCCAGGCATAATCGGGCTGTATCTACTTTGTAGCCCTCGGTCTCCCTTACTCAAAAGTTAACTACAGCTCTTGGCTACTAAAAGCTGACTCAGCCCAACTTAAATAAAAGCCTTGTTTGCATCTTTTTTTACTAATAGCTTTATTAGAATTTTTTTAAAAGAACAATAAATAACTAACAAAAATTAATATTAAGAAAATAATATAGAAGGAAAGAAAATTTAGAAATGGAAGATGTAAAAGATTAAAAAAGTGTGAAAGACAAAAAAAGAGAAGAATTGGAAAGAAAAAAAGAATTGACTTCCGACCTTCCTCACAACAGATATAAGTAACACGATACATCCAACTCTTACTCTAAGGTTAAAACATAACTTCCATTATTTCTATTAATCCCTATTATTTCTGATCATCAAATCCATACAACAACATTTCATTGTTTTCTGTAGCTCGCAAAAAGTCCAAAAAAGGTTTCCAAGTAGTATTAAAATTACACAATGTCTTATCTTGAATCAAAACTGTCAATGTTGCCATCTCAGAGAACTCCATGGCTTGTTTGCATCCTGTTGAGGTCAACAGTAGCATCGATTCTACCAGCCTGGATCCAAAACAATTGCTTAAAGAAGATCTTTTCATATTAGGGTTATTGTCCATCTTTTTCCCAGTACAAATGCAGAGTCATTACTCTGCATTTTGTCCACATGTACACAACTATCTGACTGAAAATAATTGGACAGACAAAAAGCTGAAAAGTCCACAGAGACCTTTAGTAGGGAGACAGAGGAAAGGAGAGATATACAAACCTTTCTTTCTGCCTTTCTGTGATAGTGGAACAGAATAATATCATCCCCAAATAAATGAAAACTGGACAATCATTTCAAAATATTTACTGCTCCACAAGTAACAAGTGGTGCTTGGTTGACCTTAACAGCGGGTAATCCAGATAAGAGAGGTCATCTTTCATAAAAGCCTCCAACTGACATGGATCCTTCATTGATCTCAATTTACAAATTAATTTTTCCAAATATGAGCCATCTGTTTCCCCATCAGTGGAGTCTCTGCATGCTTTTAGTGTTTCGAAACGGTTATGTTGAAAAGTGTTTTGAAAATGTGATCTAAAATCCGCCAATTTCATTAGCATTTTTTTTCTTTTTTAAATTTGGGGTTTTTAAAATAGATCAAAGGAATAAACACAGTGCTGTATATAACAGATTGCTTTATGATTGTACATCTCATGTAAAAATCTGGGACAAAAAGTGACAACAGGAGGACATTTAATTCATAGGTGTAGTAATGAAGATTTTCCTTTAATTTTCTTCAACGCTAAGATATTGTTTTATCTATTTGGTAAGCCCTACTTCGTGTGGAATCCAACACGCATAGATAAATTTCAGGGTAGCTGAATGTATTTGTGAACATTTTCTAACAGGCAGAGAAAGAATCAGCATTGACCATGTTCAAGCTTCATACAGGTGACTAATTTTGAAGTCTTCTATGGAGGAAAAGAGCATGCCATGTTTATATGCAGAAAGGGACATTCAGATGTAAAGAACACCACTGGAGGATGTGCAGAGTTTTTCTTTAGAGATTTCGGGGTGACAGAATTGAAGATCACAAAAAGGCCTATAGGAGCAAAAAAAAAAAATTAAAGTTACTTTTGAATGGCCTTTTCCTTAAGCATCTTCTCAAACCCTTGCTTCCTTTGTACGGGAAGGCAATTTGGTTCCTTGTAGATGTTTTGGGTTTTTATTCTCCTCGATCTCCACCAGAAGAGAAAGCAGCACAAAATCATGGAAGTGGTATAGTCCAAATATCTGTAAGGAACCCGATTGCTGATTCCTGAAAAAGATGGCATGCGTGGATGTTGTTATCACAAGTTGCGTGAGATAACTCTGTTGGCAGAGTGCATTTAGCCATCTTGCCCTTTCGGGATCTAAAATGTGGTTTCTTCCAATCCAGTTCACAAAAAGCCACTTCAGGAAGTGGAGATAGCTGCCATTACCGATGGTGCCTTGCACGGACTGGCTTACCTTCATTCTCATTGTAAAATTCACAGGTAAGAGCTGATGTTCCTTCTCTTGTCTATGGTTGCATTGGTTCATCTCTGCCTTCTGCAATCTGCCATCCTCCAGGTGTGTGAGGACTGCAACTCCCAGAATTCCTAGCCAGCAGGGAGGGAAGATGAGTTAATCTGATTGGCAGAAGTAGCATTCAAGGTGCTTCAAGAAAATCACTGTGCTTCTTCCTCCCCAGAAAAGAAACTTCCTTCCACTGGACATTTTTCTGATACCCAATTGGTATCTAAACTGTCTTTGTAGGATGTGCCAGCTCTACACCAGCTTATGGATGGGTTGAAAAAAAAAAATCACAGAAATCCTATACAACGTCTTGTAGATTAATTTCCATGTTAGTGATTGTCACTCTTCCTTTAATTACTGGTTTGTGAGCAGCCCTGGGATTACTAAACTGAAAGGCAACTATTACATATTTTAAATAAGGCTTGTTTATAAAAAGTAGGATAGAACAATACAGCCTGATTGTGGGTTAAGCTCAGAGCTGTGACATGCAATTAACAGGAACAAAACCTCACTGGCATTTCATTAGAAGTGGTTAGCAGCTCTAAATATGAACAGAGAATGGAAGCCTAGGTTTTCAGAAATCCTCAAAAGTGGATTTTTGCCTGTCTGAACCAGTGTCTCTCAACCTTGGCAACTTTAAGATGTGTGGACTTCAACTCCCAGAATTCCCCAGCCAG